ACTATATATAACATACCAAACAACTAAAAAAATAATATTATCCAGATTATATTAATTTTAGATAGGATAGAATTATTCAAAGTATAATAATTTTAGATAAAATTGTACATTCAAGATAAAATTAAATATCATGGAAACATTCCCAAATCTAAAAGGCAATAACATAATAATTTGTCCCTTTTGAACCTCTTCTTTTGTTTGGGCTCTTTAGATATTCATTCATGACTTCACTTTTGTGACATTTGGTACTTTTTCTCTCTTTTTTTGCTGACATTTTATTAAGGAAAAAGGTTTATATAAGGTGTCTATACTACACGGGTATGGTAAACCTAAAAAACCGCTATAGAAAGTTATTTTTATGCTGGAAAACCCTTAAATCGATCATTTCAATCTCAAGATTCATTGACATGAAAACAATGGATTTCTAGTATTTAAAATAATTCATCTTCTAAAACATTATATCAACCGTCTATTTTCAAGATTTTCAAGTGCACACGGGTCTGCTTGATCATCACCATTTCTGAAATTTTAAATTGCATAATTGGAGTCAACAATAGATTTTCATATTATCGCAAGTCTTTTGTGGTACCAAAATTACATTTTCAGAATAGTTTCGAAGCACACCTTATTTTAAACTTTGCCCCTTTTTCTTTTATTTTTTTTGACGGTCTTACTTAAGTTTTATTTATTAGTCAAAGGTTACAGCCATTCAAAAAGGGGAACACCATAAATAAATAAATTATGCATAGACCTCACCCTTTATTAATTAGGCTTGCTAGACCAGTATTCACAAATGGCACCTTCAAATCGATTTTTTTTTTTTTGCCACTCAAATTTCATTGCCCAAGACCACATGAATAGTTGCGCAATTGCCACAGCGAAAACAAGATACCCCACTAGTGAGTTCTTTTTCTTTCTTTTCTGCTTTTGTTTTTTTTTGCTCTTTTTTAGCTTTAATGGATCTCACCAATTCCTAGAGAATCTAGAGTGAATGATGACAACTCTCCTTAGTTCTATGAAATTGGTGTGTGGATTTTATAAGGTTGCAACCTTAAACAATCCAATTAAGGTGCACTTCTAAATTTTATTATAATATATAATTTGATGTAAAAAATTATTAGGATTATATGAAAATCTATTTTCACATTTAATTATAAAATTTTAAACTCTAAAAATAGTTAAAATCAAGTAAATCTATCAATATATGAAAATCTTGAAAATGGATGGTCTAGATAATGTATTGCAAGATGCATTTTTTCTTGCACTCAAAATCTTATTTATTTTTTCATATTCATATATCTCGATATCGAGATGGTCAATTAGAAGGTCTTTCAATATTAAAACAACTTTTTCCGATGGATTTTTTAGGTGCATATGTAATTCTACATTTTAAAATTGCAGCCTTATATAAACTTTTTCGTTATCTTAAAAGCCCACAAATTATCTTAATTCTTAATTTTAAATTTTTATAAATAAAAATAATATAATTATTATTTTATTTAAAAGGGAAATTAGCTTAAAAGCCCCTCATTTGCTGTCCCAGGCACCTCACCGATACGTTCCTTTCAGGCGGCATACTTATTTGTGACTAAACCTTTATCTTCAATATTTTTTATCCAAATTATCATTTTTTAACTTAGAGTTTCGTGAATAAGGAGCAATAGCTAATAGATACGGAGGCGTCACAAAGAGAGTAACAGAACAGAAAAAAAGAGAGGAGGGAGAGGAGAGGAAGGAAGAGAGAGAGTAGGGGAGAGAAAGGGTTAAGGGGGAAGCCGTGCTAGAGCGCTTCTCACCATTTTTCTCACGGTTGACATGGCAAAAGAGAACTTATTTCATCCATAATAAAATTCCATCATCAAGTGTTGAATGGGGGTAGGTACACCGGTTGATCACATTAGCGAAATCACCCTCACTTTTTTTCAAATTATACTTTTTATATTATTTAGACTACGGCTATTAATCCTTAAAACCTTAAAATACAATGAATTGATTAACTTCTTCACACACACTCTCTCTAACCACCATCTCTCTCTAAAAAAATAGTCCTCTCTCTTCAAAACAAGCCAAAAGATATTATACCCCCACAAGAGTCCACTTACTTTGTCTCTTAGAATTAATTTTAGGACCCCCAAATTTTTGTGTAACACCTTAGTACAACCAAAAAAAAAAAATTTAGATTAAAAAGTCGATACCACAAGTTCCATAGGCGTATCTATTCCGCATCTTCTAAAAACAAACACGCCCTAAGGGATTTGAAAAGGAATTTTTTGACAAATCAGGAAAAGTTGATACAGGAGTTCTACCAAGACGGCTAATTGAAGCTATATGGAGTTGGGACCCAACTGGTCACTGGTTTAAGCGCTTTACCCTAACATTCCACCCTCCATTCCTAGTCTTAATTTCTTAGAAAGGAACAAAAAGGATTGAAGGGAAGAACGACGCGCCTGAAAGCATCGATTTGAGCCTACACTGTCATTTTCTTATTTTAAAAAATTAATGCTTTTTGTAGATAAAAATGAGAGGTCTTGGTAACCATGCGCCTTTCATAAATTTAATAAGGCTGCTCCTTCAAAAATCAAATCCGACTTTAGAGAAGTCGTAGAACTCTAAATATAATGTAGATCTGGAGAATTTATAAACATTTGAAATGGATAGTCAAAATAAATATTACAAGATTGACCATCTCAAAACCAGATTGTTTTTTTCAAATCCACGATAATCAAAGTAAATATAATTGATCCGTTGACTTGCTAATATTATGGCGCTGGAACTCCATATTAAAGTGACCCCGGATTCACAAATGCTTTTTCATAAATAAATTGCTGGAAAAAAAAAAAGCCTCAAAACTTTGTCCGAGGTCACTTTTTTTTTGTTTTCTTTTACCTCTTACGATAAAACTGAAATAGAACAAAAAGTCAATGATCTGAACCGTCCATCAGACATATCGGAGCAAGATTATTACTTAATACAAAATACAAGTAAATTACATAACATATTCTCACCAATCCCCATTCTCAGATTCTTCGTACCCGGCATAATCCACAATGGCTGTCAAAAGGTCAAAAAAAAAAAGAAACACAGCTTCAATGCCTGAGTTTCAATGCCTTTATTTCTTTTCATCTTTTTTTCCATCTTTTTTCTCATCCTTTTTCTCCTCTTTTGCAGGTCCAACTGATACTATGTCCACATGCCCCAGTTTTTTGAGTTTCTTAGCGACAGTGATGGGATCCATTTCTCCAGTTACCGTTACTTTCTGGTCCTTTAAATCAGCGGCAATTGAATCCACCCCTAAAAAAACAGTTAGAAGTTTTTTCTCAAACCTTTCGATTAGATGACAATTCATTCCATTTAGCAAAACCCATGATTGATTATAGGCCCTACCAACACAGAAATGGAGATTTTAATGGAAAATCGTTGCTAAGTTCTTGAAAAATAAACGATAAATATTATGATAAAATGAAAGAAATTTGTGAATAATACAAAGACTGCCTCATGTTTCCAATTTGCCCATTTCAGGCATATTTTTGTAAAATTAAGAAGCCTGTTTTACTTCTTCTCTGGTTTTCTCCTATTCCAAAAAGTGAAAAACCAGTTAAAGGGGTAAATTTTGAGGGGTAAATTTTGAAGGGCAAATTTAATTCGTGAAATCAACTAAAAAATAAAATTTCCCTCTCTTATCACTGATTTAATTTCGTGAAATTTCAGGGAAATTACCGTAAACCTCAGCGACTGCTTCCATGGCTTTCTTCTTTGTCGTTTCATCAACCATTGCAGTGATTTTGAATATCACTTTTTGCTGAGAAATTAGAGAAAGTTAGGAACAAAAAAACAGAAACACGGAGAGAGAGAGGAGGGGGGGAGGAAAAGGATGAATTTTGCTAATTGAGTATCTAAATTGTTGCCATACCTGGGCCATCTGATGAATGCTTGCTTTTGGGAAATTAAAGAAAAATAAGGGAAATAAGGAGGGGATATTATGAATAAAACCTATAAATGTATGGGAAAATGGAATGGAAAGAAGAAGAATCGTGGGGGGAATTTGCAAGCTTTTGAGCAGCCAATTCCTGCGTTTTATATATCCATTCAAATGGCAAACCAGAGAAAGAGAGAGAGAGAGAGAGAGTGTTTTATATATCAATGAAAATGGAAGAAAACGAGAGAGCCGCAAAAATTGACTATGGTAGGGAGGAGATGCCTCTTGAAAAAGGGCGAAAAAAAATAAAAAAGAAAGGTCGAAAATAAATGGATTTTTATATATCAATAAAAATGGAAGAAAACGAGAGAGCCGCAAAAATTGACTATGGTAGGGAGGAGATGTCTCTTGAAAAAGGGCGAAAAAAAAGAAAAAAGAAAGGTCGAAAATAAATGGATAGAGAGTGATCTATTTTAGGCATCATTATTATTTTTCTTTCGGTGATTTATTCGTGTTTCTCGTCCTTCAGAGCACGAAAATCTAGAGAGAGAGATAATCTACAGAGAGAGAGAGAAGGGGAATTAGAGACGTGTCCTTGCAAACTGGCGTAATCTTTAGAAAGAGGCCCGAGGGTGGACCCTTTGGTTTGCTTGGGCGGCAGCCTTGTCAAATAAATAAAGCCTCATTTTAAAATTTATAGAAAAATTGTAATTCAAGTATTGAAAAACTTTTGCATTGATCATCTCAGATTAACGTTATGTTGTAAAAAAAATTAAGATTTTAAGTTCTAAAATTATTGGTTATTGTATCACGTTATCTGCATTGTTTATTTCACCCTAAAAAATAGGTTTTCACTTATCCACAAGATTTGTACTGTTTTTTTTACCTTCAAATTTGAATGTCCGTATTAAAAATTGATTTTAAAGTCATGATGGAGATTTTTGTTGCGAAATTAATTTTCCGGATAAAAATTTTAGGTGAGGTTTCAATTTGTTTTCGTAAAAACCTAGATATTATGTATTTGTCAAAAAAGTAAACAAAAAAAAAACCTAGGTCTTACGGAAGCTTCTTCCCCAAAGCAGCCGCTTCCTAAATATGCCTGCCACGTATCCAGAATAAGAGAGAGAGAGAGAGAGAGAGATTTTGATTGTCAAGAGAGAATTTTTTCCTTATCAGGCCTATTACGGCTCTTAGATTAAACATAGCCCAAAATAAGGAAGACAAGACCAATAATTGGGGTTATTTTTAAAAGAGAAAGACACGTTATTGTTTTTTTTTAATTATTTTAAGGAAAAACATAATATAAGGGGGAGGCACCTAAACAATCAAATTAGGACACACTTAAAAAATTAACTAAAAAAAAAAGATTGTTTTGATCTCCAACAGTTTTCAAAATCAATCATCTCGACTTCAAGGTTTATGGACATGTGAAAAATAGATTTTAAGTCTTGGAAATAATGCATTTTATAATGTATTATTTGTGCCATTAATTTTCAAGAGTTCGTAGACCTACACAATGTACACTTATTTTTTAAGCTTTAATTTTTATAAATAAGGATAAATTTTGAGGTCATCATAAATATTTTCAGTACTAAAACAACATTTTTCTACATTATTTGAAGGTGCACTTTACTTTGATTGTTTATGGCCTCAGCCTTATACAAATCAACCCTTATTTTAAAACTTGTCAATTTTTTATGTGGATTGTAGATCTAGATAGGAATCCGTTATGACCGAACAAGTTCGAAGATGGTATGGTTCCTGACCCGGTTCATTCCTTAGATGCCCTTATATACTTTTTCTTTTTAAAATTTTGTTTTTAAACTTGTCTAATGCTTTTTCTAAATCCCCGTCCCATAAACTTTTCCATTTTAATTTTAATTTTATTACTTATTTTTAATATTTTTCTAAATCACTAATTCGAACTAATCCAAACTTGATCCTAATCACATATTCTAACGATTCAACATGGGTATGTGGTGGGTGAATGATGTTAGTATTTTTGGTATGGAAAAACGATTGGTTTTATTTCAAAACAGCATTATATTTTATATAGTTTTCCGAAGTTTTAAGGTGTGGGTTTTAAACCCACATTGAAGAGAGGAAGGATCAAGTGGTTTATATATGTAGACAGTCTCATACCTTTCATCCCTAAAACGAAAATGAGAGTGTGGGTGTCTTTTTGGAACAAGTGAAGCGTTTAACGTGTATGGCTGTGCAAGGACACTTGATGACGCAAGGTGCCCTTAGCCCGAGCACATGCCTGGATCAGGCCCTCAGCCCGAGCACATGCTTGGATCAGGCTCAAAGCTCTCTCACGCTGTCTTTCTCTACTCATTTTTCTCTCCCTTGTTTTTTTTAAATTTAAATTTTTTATTTACATACTCTAGTGCTCTACAGTAGGCTTCCGGTTCATTCTAGCTTTGCCACTTTTTTCACCCAATCATTTCCAATGGGGCCCACATATTTTCCACTAGAGGACCATATTAAGCTGCTTCAAGGCAATGGTGGAAAGGGTTCTCTCTCTCTCTTAAACCTATGAGTCTTCTCTCTATGTAAGCAGGGGATTGGGATTCCCTACCTACGATTAAGAATAGACATACCCAGCCGGCCGCATGATGGTCGGATCTCATTGAAGTTGCACAAAAAAGGAAAGGAACAATTTTTCTTTCACAAGACTGCAATTGTATACTCTTGCCCTTCGCACATCACTAGAAGAATAACCAGATCGAAAACTATCTAAGTTAGCAAGAAAATGGTTTTAAAGCCCTCAAAGTGTTTCATCTTTTCATATTCATTTTGGATTCTCAATTTCAAATCATTAGATCGACCAAATCTGCACCAAGTTCTCAAGGGTGACATAAATTTACATGCCATTATGAGGATTTTGGCATGGTATCTAAATTTTCTAGCATGCTTTTAGCAGTGTATATATCTAAATTGGGGCCAAACCTCATCCAATCATAAGCCTATCAATAGAGCCATTACATAATAAATGTGTTCCTTCCAAAGAGGAAAATATAGGAGCATGATTATACATGTAAAAGGAAGGTATAACTATAAATACAAGATATTGTATTTGCCCTTCCAAAATACATAAATTACAATATACACATGCGACATTGACCTGATGGCAATATATATTTTTCTTTCACAATGCATAGGTATACATAAGAAATGGGGTTCCAGCAATCAACCTTAAAGATAAACTTTGGACCTAAATTTTATCAGGTTTATAACCTCAACCACCACAATCTTCAATCTAAATGGAAAAATGTATTTTGATCCTTAAAGATGTAAATATAGCCTTGTTTTATTATTTTTGAACTATTCATTTTAATTCTTAGCGAATCTGCACATTTTTCTAAGTTACAAAGCCGTGGATTTAAAGTGAAAATATATTTCGACTCTAAGATGTATCTCTAAGGTAAATTTTGGAAGCGGGTTGCATTTTAACTGTGCCGCATTTTAGTTTTCCCTATAAATAAGCCGTGGGATCATGATTTAATTAAAGTGGTTGTGTATTTCCACCTCCAACTGAAGTTCATTTTTTTGCTATCCACCACCAAATCAGAAGCACTAGATTAGCATGTTAATCTTCACTAGTTATTATGGTGCTTGGCACTCTGATATAAGTGTTCATTAGTTTGCAACAAGATCACATAAAGGTGAGAGAGCTTAAGATCCCAACCTTTGTTTGCTTGAAAACCCAAAGAAGCTAACCTAGCCCATTTTTTTTTAGGTAAGAAAATAGTTAAAAATGACATAGACCTTACGAGAAAAAGTAGAGCTTCTTTTCAAAACTCACTAAAAATTACAGCTTCGGCTTTGAAAAACCTTTAAACCGATCATCTCAACCTTAATCATTATGGTAATGAGAAAAAAAATTAGGACTTCAAACCCTGAGAATAATATATATTATAATACATTATCTGGACCATCTATTTTCAAGTGTTCACATATCCACAAGATCTATACTATTGTTTTAGCTTCAAATTTCATAGTCCATTACAGAAATTGATTTTAAAGCTATCACAAAGATTTTTTACACGTAAGGTATTTTCCTAATGAGGTTTCCGAACAAAGTTTCTAGGTGAGGCTTTACTAATTTTTTAGGCCTTATATGAACTACATCCTTCAGTTAAATGCATATGTATTCTATCAGCATTTAACGTACGGGCACTTTTTGTGTGTTTTTATTATATTTGATATTATTTTTTATTAAAATTATGAGGAACACCTTTTCTTTTCATATTACTGTTTTTTTTTTTTTTGGTAAGTTGCCCTTCGTGTCCGCAATAATACCCTTCATGTGATAAACCACACTCTCCTTAAATGCGTTGCGGTTAAATTAAAGAACGAGGCACACGCTCCTTAAATGCATTGTGGTTAAATTAATGAACATGCACACGCTCGTTAAATGCGTTGTGAATAAATTAAAGAACGAGGCGTACTCCTGAGGGAGTATAATGTATGTTTACTCCTTCGGCAAAAATACCTACTTTAGAAGTTATTTATATTTAAAATTTTGAATCTACTTAATTATCACTAAATGATCATTTTCAAATGTTAAAATTTGAAATTTGGGTTTTTTAACACTTAGATCTTACCCTCTAAAAATTAGGCCGTCTATGTTAATCTTGAGACATTATTTTTTTCAAATGTGTAGCAATTAGGAATTTTTTGTATGGAGGTTCATCCATGAAAACGTTATAGGGAAAAGTTTATATAGAGCCGAGGCCCTAAACAATCAAATTTGAACCTACCTCAAAACTTTCACTAGAAGCCGTGGTTTTGATACCCAAATATCTTCAAATTGATCATAGCGATGTCAAGATGCATGGACATGAGAAAAAAAATAGATTTCAAGTTGTGGAAATAATGTATTTTGTAATGCATTTTTGGACCGTCAATTTTCAAGATTTTCGAGTTTTCATAGATATGTCGATCTACATTATTTTTTAAGCTTTAACTTTATAAATAAATATGAAAATATATTTTAAGGCTATTACAAAAATTTCCAGTATTAAAACTATATTTCTCGATATTATTTGAAAGTAGGCTCTAATTTGATTGTTTAGAGCCTAGGCTCTATACCCAAGTTTAATCTCCAAAATTTGGGTTCCTAAAATTAATTATAGATGTAGTTTTACATATGGTAGTAAATGAACAGTCTATTGCCAAGGGAGCATAAATTTCTTTGGTAATTAAACAAAAAAGCAGCCCCGACACGTTCGTCTTTAGCGGTCTTATGGGTTATTTCCCTTTAAACCCTCATGCCCAGCCCCCATTAAAAGATATTATAGTCCTTTGGGAGTATATTATTCATTCACTCCCTCAAGTGAAACTGTCCCAAGATTAATTTAAGTAACCCAAATTTTGAGATACAACTTCTTCAACCTAAAGATTAACCTCAATAAAAAATGGTTTTCTAATTGCGCCCTCAGCACACTTGAAAAAAAACAACATTGTCTCAAAATTAAATAGGGCCTATCCCAATATTTAGAGGGGGAGATGTAAGTGTTAGAAAACTCAAATTTCAAATTTTGACTTTTGAAAATAATGGTTATTAAGTGGTTCTCAAAATTTTAAATTAAAAAAAAAACTCTTTTTATCAAGGGAGTATACTTATACTATACTCCCCTAGGAGTACGTCCTCTTCTTTAATTTTCCGGCCATAACACGTGTGGGTTTTAGGCCATTTGTATAGGCCCTATAGCATAAAACTTATATATTTTTCCAAATCCAACCTTCCAATCTAAATGGAGGATTAATATTGTCACAATCACAATGTCATGTCTTTACACTATTTTATTTTATTTTATTTTATATATAAACTATTTTAACACCAAAGTTTGGAAGTCCAATCTTCTATTAAATTCGTACTAGCGAAAAATATAAAAATAATATTTTTAATAAAATAAAATGACCAAAATACCTTTGAACATTTTAAAGGATATTTTGGTCATTATATTTTATCAAAAAATTATTTTTAATATTTTTTATAGGTACGCCCCAATGAGAAGATGGCACGTGTCAAATTTTATATTCATACAATTTGTATAAGAAAAACTAAAAATAAAATACTTTAAGACGCCGGATCTAAGATCAAACAGTGAGTGGCTCTCTTGATCAAAATTGGATGGCTGGATGGTAAAGGAAGCATAGTTCTTTTATGTTGTAGGGGAAGTATAGAAACTTTTCCCTATTGTAATTGCTCCATACGAGGGCAACTCAAAGTAAGAAAAACAACGGCGTAGAATGGGTGTTCTTTGTAATTTTTAGGAAAAATAAACATCAAATGGTAATAAAAAGACACAAAAGGTGTCTGAACCAAAAAAAAAAAGAAAAAAAAAAAAAACTACTTATTTTATTGATACTAAATATTGCAAGATAGATTATCTCGGACCCCATGCAGCAGCGGACGCAATCTTGTCATCCGCTAGTGCATCACACGGCATATTTTCCAAGGTTCGAGAACGCTCGTTATATGTTGTGACCGTTACAAAAGGAAACGACTTTCACTGATGATCTTATGCAATACAACTTGTTGGGGGGGCCTACAAGCTTTTATGAGAAACCTCCCCAAATGTTTGGTCTAAACTTTTGAAAATTGAATATAGATAGAGAACACCATCAAATTATGGTCCATAAAGATGTCGGTTTCCAAAGATTGGTTTCTTCTTAAAGCTATCTTGAGATCAATTAAAAATCCACCTCACAAACCCTAGGAAACTGAAATTAAATTAAATTAAACTAAAATTAAAGAAAAATAAAGAAAAAAAGTAAACTTAATGTAGCCAGGCTGGTTGGCTTGGCCAGCCTGAAGACTTGGAGTTGGTGCTTGTATCAGACCGTGGGTTATTTACGTTGATCTCCTTCTCTTTTGTTGAAGAATGCTTAGGGCATGGTTATTGGGCTTTTGGATTTGAATAAAATTGTAATCTAAAATTAGGGTTTAGGATGTGTTGAGAATTGGCTAGGGTTTCCTAGATCTAGGATTTTCGTTAGGGTTTTCTAGGGTTCTTTTAGAGTGTTTTTGCTATTGTCGCTTATGACCTTTGAGATACTATTGAATGCTAATGTTTCCTAGATCTGGGGTTTAAGTGAGGGTCTTTTGAGAATTGGGCTATTTTTGGTGATGTCACTTTTTTTTGGTTAGGGGTTTTGGGAGTTTTTTACACCAATTGGTCCCATGTCACTTTTTCACACCAATTGGCCCCATGCCCTGCACCATTTTCATGGTGTATTCCCCCTAAGTCCATTTAAACCATGCTTTGTTTTCACCTTCTTTCTTTTTTGACCTTTTTTTCTTTTTTCTTTTTGGGGTGAAAGCTGCCTACCTTTGCTTTGACCTTCTTTTAACAAAAATGATGTACTCCCATCAAAAGGCCCCTTTCTCATGTCCATTCCAATTTCTTTTCCAACTGTCTTTCATTGCACATGCATGCGCGATTCCTTTTATATTCTCTTCCTAATTTTAATTATTTCATAATGTCCTAAGCAGCATGAAACACTTCGTAAGTGTTTTATACACAAATTAAATTGCCATTTAAACTTATACTTTTTGTACTTTTTGTCATTTATGTAACTCTACTCCCAATATAATAAGTTATTTAGGTATGCACTATTACGTAATCAACCAATTGCCCTATTTATTTACTTCATTTTTTTTCATATAATATGTTGAAAAATCATTAGCAAATTGTCTTTACAGAATTAATAAACATTAGCATTCCATAGTATTTCATAGGCCGCAAGTGACAATAGCATAAGGACACCAAACAATCAAATTAAAGATATAAATTCAGTGTTCATCACACAAAAACCAAAAGGAAAATTATATATATAAAAAAAAAAGCAAACCACAAATTTTATGAAAATGAGTGGCCTCCAAGATAATCATATTTGAGAAAATGTGAGCCACTAATATCACTTTAGAATATATTTATATTTATTTTACATGATGGTGCACGCGTGCGGATTCTCATCGCTGAAAAGTGAGGCCGCAGCCTCATCAGAAGCCAGGGCAACAGAGTAAGCCGCAGGGGTATGGAAAAATGTGTGGGCCGCGGCCGTGCCTTGTGAAATATCGTAGTACTGCTCAGCAACATGACTTGGGAATTTGTAGAAAGACGAAACATGGGATGAATATTGTGGAAAAGGCCATGGCTCAGCCACCTTTCCTGTTTTGTTAATGGCCTTTACAATTTTTTTCTCTTCAATGGAGTACCCTCGAACTGTTACTTTGTGCATCTCCATGTCAACTTCCACTGCCTCAACACCTGACAAAAAAATAAACTATATATTAATCATTTTGAATTCTTCATGGTTTACATCAAGGATTTCAATAAAATTATATATTAATCATTTGAAGTCTTCATGGTTTACATCAAGGATTTGAACTTGAGTTGAATATTTAATAAACATTCCAATTGAATATTTGATAAGCTTTGGAGTTGTATATTTACTAAGCATTAGATTTGATAGGCGATTATTTTAAGAGCCCAAAGAGATTGAGATAAATATTGAAAGAGAGAGAGAGAGGGAGTCCTAATAAAATAATGAGGAAAGAGGAATGCACTATGTGATTGATAGAGAGAGGAGGGGGGAGGGGGAGAGAAGGTCGTGTTAGAAAACTCTCAAATCGATTATCTCAATGTCAAGATTCATAAATATAAAAAAAAAGATTTTTAGACCTAAAAATAATTTATCTTCTAACACATTATCTAGACCGTCCATTTTCAAGATTTTTAAGTCATCGCAAATATGCTTGATCATAGTCATTTCTAGAACTTGAAATTTATAATTGGGGGCAACAATATAGTTTATATTATCACAAGGCTTTGCGCCATGAAACTACATTTTCGGCATCGTTTTGAGGTGCACCTTACGTCAATAGTATACATCACCCTTGAAAGAACGCGTAGAGAGGAATGCACTATATGATTGATGCAAAGATATGCAAGTTTAAGTTAATAAGCTCCTTTAAGATTGTAGAGGTTACTAGTGACTAATACAAATTTAGGGATCTCATTACTCTCTCTCTCTCTCTCTCTCTCTCTCTCATGTGATAGTATACCTTTGAGTCTAAAGAGAGCTTTCTCTATCTTGGCGGTGCAGCCGCAGCAATCCATGTTTTTTACCAAGACTTCCACCACCTAAACACCACAAAATTGCCAGAATTTTAGCCGGAAAATGACCCACAAAATAAAATTATTTTCCATTAAAATGTTCCGATCGTGCAATCCGATTATACAAAATATGAACATTTAAGGCTAAGCACAATATTTACTAATAAGATATTACTTAATTAGTGAAGATAAACCTAAACATAAGTCTTTATAAAATAAGAAAACACTCACCGACATATTTCCAGCTTGAACTCCAAGCATTCAAGAGATGGATGGATAAGTGAGAGAGGTATTATATAGACTTTCAAATTTTCAAATATTCAATTAATATCATTTCCTTTTAGGAATTTTTTTTAAAAAAAATTGAAAATTGGAGGGAAAATGGGGAGCGCATGGTGATTCATGAGAAAAGCGGATTGGCTTTGGCGTGCAATTGTGAAAGAAGATAAACTTTTTTTATCACTTTCCTCAAAGCAAAAACAACTACTTTTAGCAGACAAGGAGACAACTTTTCTTCTTAGTTCCTAGAAAGAGAAGAGCATAGTCTATAGCGTATGTAAATAAAGATGCCCAAAAGCTCCCTCTTATGCATAAAAAGCAACAAAAAGCTGTCTACACCAGTAGTTATTTATTCTTTTCTTTTCATTCTTCTTCATACAGTGACCCACAGTGGATCCCATTTCTCTCCCATTTTTCAAAATATCTATTTCTATGTTTAACTTTAATTTGAAATGTGAAATGATGTTTTTGACATTGTTGCAAGCCACAACTCACTCTTGGAAGAATGCATAAGGAAAAACAATGTGAAAAAAGGGGAGCATACGCTGTGTTTTCTGCCTTGAGATCTTTTATCTTTTTAAATTTTGGAATTAAAAATCATTGGATGTTATTATTCTTTGAAAAAAAAGATTTTCAGATCCTAAATACTTTTATGTTGTGGGGTTCTTGGGAACCCTCGCTTGCGGAACTAAGGATCCCAAATACCAGAGTCCTGTTGTGCGCAGAAGATCTAAACCTGACAGGTTGATTTTTGGTAAATATAATACGAGAAAAATAGAGCCGGCAACAAGCAAGAAAAATCAAGCATGAAATTAATAACAACAAAAGTGAGCACCAGAATTTACATGGTTCGTCGTATTAGATGCAGAAACAAGATCCCAAAAATTGGATCCCACCAAGAGCATGGTATTATACAATTAGAAACAAAATACAAGAGTACGAGATATAATATGATAAATAAAGCATAAAACACACACACCACAAGAGTATACATATTTAAGTAATTCACCCAAAAGGGCTACATCCACAGGCACGGCAAACTGAAATCTATTATACCAATTAAAGTTACATCATAGATTTTGGGACATAGAGTTACTTATTTAACCCTCGACAAAACCCAGATGAACAAACCCTTTTAGACCTACTCTCCCAATAGGTACAACTCGTCGATCTCTCAACTCTATTCCACAGCTAAACTACTGTCCAGGAAAAGACACATCTTTATTCACAGTTAAACTATTATACAGGAAGATAACTTTGAGAGTAACCAAAATTTTCTCTAACTAAAAGAGGAAACTACCCAAAATCTTCAGGAGAACCGTTTCTCTTTAAGAAACCAACTTCTCAATCTAAAGGAGGCACCATCGTAGTGTTTCTCTCAACATGAAGCTCGCTTCTCTCTAAGGGCGTGTTTGTTTCCTTAAAGATATATATGCGTGTTTGTTTCCTTAAAGATATATATTAACAATATAAATATAAATATATAACATAATATAATATATAATATAATGTACTTTATATATGTTATTAATGTAAATTTATATTATATGTAACATATAATATATAATATAATATAAGATATTTACATATTATATATAATATGATAAATATAAATATTATATGCAATATCATAAATATATATTATATATATTATAATATTTATTATATCATATTAATAATACTAATATTATGTATTTATATCATATATAGTAAATAGTGATCAACAAAAACATTCCTACCCTCCCTCGCCCCAACTCCCTTCCAAGAATTTAATCTTTCATGTTTTAATTAAGGAATGGGAACTTTGTTGGAAGACTATTTTCTAAACTTTTAGATGGAAATTGTGTGTCAAACATGGAATTTTTGGAAAATTAGAAAGATTTTTTTCTAAAAGAAATATTTCAGAAAAACAAACGCCCCCTAAGGGGTTTCTCTCCATATGAAGCTCTCTCCTCTCTAAAGGGAGATGTTGCCTCTCATGCATGGGATGCTTCTACCTCTCTCTCTAGAGAAAGCCGCATTTCCTATATGGCGATCCAAATAGGGTACTGTCAACCCATAAATGATTTCAGGCAATTGTTGTATAGTAATATGAAGCAACAACCTTAAAAAAACATCTTATATCCATTTGTTTGACCCAAATTTTGAAATATATACTCTTTTCATTCTAATGAACAATTACAAAATAAGAAAATCTTGAAAGCCCAACCTAAGAAGTATTTTTTAGCCCAATTAAAATAAGCCGTTCATTATGGTAAAATGCTTAGATCTAGGTCTTAGAAGGCTTTTTTTATTTCCAATTTTTTTGGATGGATTTATTATCATTAGATGAACAATGTTAAAGAAATAAAAAAATAATTTTGAGATCATAAAAGCTAAGATCTTAAAATTCACAAAATGAATGGTTTAGATTCGTTTTTTTTGGGGACTCATTTTGACCATATCTAGCGTTCAAATTGAACTTTTTTTTGGGGGGGGGGATTGATTATTGAGATGAAGAGAGTGCGTGTGCAAAATTTGAGGTCATACAAATACCACAAACATGATTATCTAGAAGTGTCATTGCATT